TTTTTTCTTTTCATTCGAATCTTGAGTTATCGGTTTACATAATCCAAAATCTGTAATGCTTGCATCTTCAAGTTCGAACATTACTATATTTCCGCCGTGTAAATCTTGATGCGTCAATCCTGCATTGTGGATATGATTGAGTCCCCTAAGTATTGAATGTAAAATTTTAAATTTTTGATACCAATCCAATGAATAAAATTTATTATCCAAATATTTTCGAAGATTTCCTTCTTCAGCAAATCGCATAACCATTATAAAATCTTCGGATTTTGGATCTTGGGTTATTCCATAACATGGAATAATTCTATATCCTCCTTTTACTCCTACTCCTAAAGAATTTATCTGATGTTTAATCTCGTCAAAAAAACCTGCTGGTATATTTTTGGAATTATTTAAACTTTTTAAAACCACTTTTGTTTCACCAAGGAGTTCGTAACGTCTTGACCAATCTTGCTTTTCAACGTTCCATTTGTAAATATATCCTTCTTTCCATATAGCTGTGCATACCTTCCCGAATCCCCCTTTAGAAAGATATTTAACATTTGTAAATTTCTCATACTCAATCCATTCTAACTTTTGAAAGTGGATTGATGCGTTAAGTTGAGTTTCTCTTATGAATTCGTCAATAACTTTATTTCCGCTGCTCCAACTATTAAACTGCTGTTTAAAATGTTGTGAATTACAAGGCTTACACCATAACCAAATATCTTCGCTAGAACTTTGTTGTCCACATTCTTCACATGTGTGAATCATAATTAACTAATAATGCACAAGATCTCAATAATAAAAAAAAATCTGTTAGGTTAAATAATATAGTTCTAATATGCTCGAAAAAACAAATTTTTTTTTTTTAAACTACTGTAATACTACCTTTTAGATTTCTAAGTATAATAGAATTTTTATGGTTCTCTTCATATGTACGAATGTGAAGTGGATTGTGAAGACCTAAGTATGTATGTACGCACGTACGTACGAAAGTACTTTATTAATTTTAAAAATTAAAAAAATGTATATATTGTTTATTTACGTTACTTTTTACAAAAAAGTGAACAATAGACACAATTTAATTGAATTTACCAAGTTACTGTTTAGTTCTAATTCGGATATAGCATAGTCGAGTTTGATTTGATTGGTTAAAAGGAAAGTTATTTATTTATACGGACCTACTATAATTTCATAATATTCGTATTAAAGCGTATTAAGTAAATCAATTCGCTATTGAAAAAAAAATTTTATTAAAATAGACTTAAATAACACTTTATATCTGTTGTGCGCACCTCAATAACTATCAGGTGACCAGCTTTAAATGATCATTAAATAAGTATACAATATTGGGCAAAATTGCAAATGAAAATTGCCCAATATTGGTGTTATCCGTAGGGTTGTTAAATTACAGTAATTTTACGTAACTTTACGTAAGTTTATGTAAGATTCGGTAAATTGAAATTTCATG